AATGCAAAACAGTAAAATGTAGCGACACAAGTTCAGCATTATGGAATCCATTTGATGATGACAAAAGATTTGTGAGTAGCTATGGTTGAAAGGATATGCTTGTTTTGTTCCTATGTGACATAATGAGAAGGTGACAATTCAGTATCCTTTTACCAGTTCTCTCCTCACCATATCCAACTATGAACAAACCATGGAAATAAATTGTGAAGATTTTTAAATAGAAAATCTGGACTTTATCCTACCAGTTTTAGTTGCTATCCATATCCAGCAATCAAACTGTAACCAATAAAGAATAAGTTGAAAAACAAATTATATTAACAAAATAAAGCTAGAGAGAGCTTCACAACTCCAATTCGTTGAATTTAAGCAAACACCTAACCAACCTTTAGGCCATTGAGCCAGAATGTTTTCCTTCAAAGTTGCAACACTTGTAGCAGCAGGAAAGGTTTTAGGACCAATATCAGACCCATCGGTAAGTCGAAATTTGATATCTAACTGATCTTGCACGTCAGCCATCTCCAAAATCCTCAGAAGCTTCAGAAATCCTAACAAACAAGATCTTCACCAGGAAGTTCTCCTAAATTGTTTACAAAACGTTAATTTGGCCTGCTAGAACATACTAGGGTCCACTTAAACAGATTGAATCCTTGCAAATATCAAATTTCCTCCAGATTCTGACTGGGGTATTCTGCAAAATTGAAATACATACATAAGAAAAGCAAAGTTGAATCCTTTGAGTCATGGATATGGGATAAACAAATATGCAAAGTGGAAACCAGTTTATAGAGGGAAACAAGTCTAGGGATAGAGATCTTATTACGATTTCCTAGAACAGAAATCAAGCAAAAAGGAGTAACCCCAGTTGGTTATTTCCAAAAACAGAACATCAATGATCAATCCCCCCTCCAAATAAGAACGAAAGAACAAAGAAACAAAGAACAGAACAAGTGACAGACACATAACAGACTAAAATCAGTAAAATCAATCATCAATCCTTACCAGTCTAAACACAACCAAATCCCCAAATTATGGTTCTCCAAATCACAAAATCAGCTAAAATCCTCAATTGGGTCATAAGAAAAACTCAAAAACCCTCGTGGGTATCAAGGGTCATCTTACTTACTTTAGTCTAAAACTGATCCAGGTTGGCTCTTTTGTGACAGTTGTTGGCTAAAGCACTCCAGACTAAAGAAGAAGAAAGTATTCTCTGTTTTCTTTAGGTGCCAATAACAAAAAATGGAAAAGAATCAGTGAAAAGGGCATGTGTAAGAGGAATGAAAGAAGGGGAATGTGTTTAAGCCAATCTGCTCCAGAAACGAGGTTTTTCCGAATTTTCAAAGTCTTGTAAATCTGCTGCCAACCCTTCCACTCTTGCCTTCTCCTTCCAATCTACTCCTAACGCCGCTGTGAAAATGGACAGATTTCGCTTTCATTTTTATTGTGGAAAAAAGGATGAGACATTTTTCGCCAACTCCCGCCATTACAATTACGGTTAATTAAACCATACCCCCCAATCCCACGTCGTGTCTGTGAATAGACTAATTCTTTACATTCGAATCAGTTTGTATGCACCATGCACCTTCATACTCCGTTTTTGTCAAATTGGTTCCGGGAAGTCTGCATTACAACCGGGCAATAATACCTCAATGGTTCAACCCCAAGGTGTGGGTTCTTGAGACTCTTTGGTGAGTATTTCTAACCCACGCCATTGAAATATGAAAAAAAAGGGAAAAAAAATGTCTTGTATAATTTGAGTTATATTGAATTTTACAATATTAATTATAAAGGTTAAACTTTAATATTTATTAAATAATTTTTATTTTACAATTTAATAAAATTTATACGATAAAATAAAAATTCATTGAAATATATATTTCTTTATCAGTCATCTCATAATTTCCATGTTCAAAACAAAAAAAAAAGTATGCATGTAATAGTTTTTTTTGGTACATATGCATGTAATAGTTTGATCATGTGGAATGTGAACCCAATCATGGAACCACAGTTCTTTTTCTTTACATGATGCACATAAAAAGATTGGGTCATGTTTGAGCTGTCCAGAAGAACTTTTCACATTTTTCCCATCCCAACTTTGGAATTAATCAACTATTATACTTTAAACAGTGCAACTAACTAAAAACCAATGATTCGTTGGTTCGAGTAGAAAGAGTTTGATTTCTCTTAAGTAAAATCTTGAATTCGAGTTTTGTAAATAGAGAAACAAGCGCTGGGAGAGTTTCCCTAAAATAGAGTCCAACGCGAGTTGATTCCAAATTAATCGGGACTCAATGTGGTTACTGGATACCAGAAAGTTAGGACAAAAAAACCAATATAACTAATCACACTGTTCACTTCTTACTCATTCCAGTTTAAAAATTTTAAGAATAAGATAAAGAGAATTTTTGCCAGATTAGATGGTTGATGCTAGGAAGGAAAGAACCCTATATTCTATCTGGGTTTTCCTGTCTTCATCATCTTGACAAAGATTCTTCCTTTAGGATTTTCCATGGTAAAATGTATTAAGTGTCTTGTTTTGCAGTCCGAATTTGAACTGTTGAACAACATTGATTTTGATATCACGTCATGCTTTCACAAGCATTTCAATCGATGCTAGGGTATGATAAATTTCAAGATAACAATACATGAAGAAAAAGATGAAAATTGAAATATGTTTAATATAAGAATTGGGAAAGAATTTTTCTGCACATTTTAAATGTGTGTCATGAACAAATCAATATGTAAGCTAAGAAGAGTTACCCATTCATGGGACCTGTAATAAAGCAATACCATTACCTACTCCTAGAACGGGAAGAATGAGAAGATACTAACAAAAATGGAAACGATAAAAAGAAATAAAATGAGAACTTTCCAAGCCAGCCATCCTCATCTTCTCTACACCAATCAATCTGATGGCAATGACCAAGGCCACTTCTAGTTTTGTGTATTCCACCTTATTCCAAAATATCCACCAACAAATCAGGCAGGAACCCCGCAGAACGATGAATAACAGTATCCTCTTTCCAAGGGAAAAAATAAACCAAGGAGCTATGTTACAGACTGAAAGAATGGATCTTGTGCCTGTGCTCATGAGTGCACGTCGTCTCCTGCTAATGTCTCAGGATGACAGCAAAATTCCAACCTCAAAATTCTTGCTCTTAATATTGCCTTCTCAAATAAATCTTGAGAAATTTTCAAGCCGTAGGAAAATTTATGATATTTGTATCAGTCATGTCATTTCCTGGTGTATCTCTTCTTCTAACTTGTCGAGATGATTGACTATGACTCCAGCATGTGACAATTTCTTATAAAATCATTGGAGTAGTTGACATAATTCGTCCAAAATGGTCGAAGATGCTCAAAGCCGATCTGCAGCCATGGCTTTGACTGGCCATTGTAATGGATAACTGCAGCCTTTTTCACACTCTCAATGTTGGTCTTATTCTGATAGCCCAACCCCAGCATATGCCATGATGGATCAATTGGGTGAACATGACCTTTAAATGCAATCAAAGCGGGTGGTAGAGTACCAAGCTTCCACATGGTCAGGTTTGACTTCAGGTTCTGCCACAGAGAAACCAAACATTAGCAGAAAACATTGACAAAGCAACTAGTATTTCAAACGATTCATTAACAAAACTAAATTGAACTAAAGATGAAAATCAAACAAACATAAAATAATACTTAAAACTCAGTATAAATTACAGTTGAGGCGCAATCTGCATTTTTTTGATCTAAAAATAGGCCTATCTTGCAGTTTCAAATTTCCATCAATAATTCAATAGGTTTTCTAACCACCTAAAGATGAGCCAGAAACTTGAAATATCCAACTTCTGAAATGATTTAAAAGGAAAAAGAAAATGTAGAACCTCATATACAGCTATAGCAACAGTGTTGAACAAATTAACAGAACAGAGAAAGTTTGAAGGAATGTAGATTGTTCAAACGAATTGCAGTGATGAGAGCTACTTTCAGATCAAAAACATTGCCTTTGACTCTCCGACAACCATGGATGATTATTTTCATTTTCCAATTTCAAATTTTCAGTCTAGTGTGTTACCTGCAATTGTCATCATGTGTTTTTTAATCATGAGGACAGAAGGCAACTGCCAAATGCTGAGCTTTATACAAATGTTGAAAGAAGATCATTAAGCAAATAATTACCTCTTTCAGCCAAGAATGGTAAGTCTCTCTTATATTCGTCTTTCTCCAAGCCTGGAGATCAAAGATATTCATTCCATATGCCCAAGCACATTCATCAGGATCCAAATTCTTTGCTATAAGGGGGTGGGAAAAGTTGAAGTATGTCCGGAAATGCTTAGACATAACCCATTCATCTTCACCCTTACAAGTTTCTACAGCTCCATTAACCTTTCCCTCAAGATCAATCTCCCAAAGAGGAGATAAATCACGCTGAACTACAACATCATCATCTAAAAAGACCACCTTGTTGAGGTTTGGAAAGAGCTGTTTAAACACAGTGTGCACTTCGTCATCAGCAAAAGAGAGAATAAAAAGGAAAAAGATAATAAAAAAGAACATTAGGCTTCATCACTCCTAGTGGCTTAAACGCCCAATTGAGCGGACTCCCAGATCTAGCCACCTTTGATAACTTTCACATGGAATGAAAAGGTCACACATTCATCTTTGCTTTTTGCAGCACTTAATTATAGTATTAGGAGAAATTTCACAGCCACCACCAAGGATTAATTGAGAAACCACATTTTACATTGCATGAATGCAAACTTAAAAACAGCACTTCCAGATAATCACTGAAAATGCTGAGCAAAAGGTTACTGTCTAACCAATCACCTCATATGCAAATTAACCAAGCTCAGTACCATGGAAAAATAGTTTTCGTTTTCCTAATCCTTCTGGGTTTGACAGTAGGAAGGTACCCCAGTCACAGAAAACAGAATTTATTTTATTACCCTAGAAGATTAAAATTCTATTATTCTAAAGTTCTAATATGATGTTTTAGAAACACAACGCCTGCCTATCATAATTTAAAGTATTAAAACTTCCAGGAGGCAGCCTAAAAGGGAAGAAAATTTCATGGTTTTATCTGATTACCTCTGGTAAATATATCCGGAGATGGTTGAGCAAGGATATGTACTTTGGACTTCTAGCCTGCAATTTTGAAGCAAATGTTCGAGGAGTAGTATCAGAGAGGTTGGCCCCAGCAACATGATTACCATGATAGTAATTTCTGATCCCATTATGGTTCTCAATAGCTTCAAGCACAGGAACATTCTCTCTTGTTAACCAATCAAACTGATGAACTCCTTTCACTTCAACAATAGCAGGGGAGACAGGGTTTAGTGCAAACCATGAGTGCATACCAGCATAAGTTTTCTTGTCAGTAATGACATGGAAAACAATCTTTTCAGGTTTTAGAGATGACTGGACAGCAGAAGTGACAACAACCGAAGCAGCTAAAATATTATCAGTTGAAAGGACAAAGTGGTGGTAGGAGTTGTTAGAAAGCACTGGGAGTAGCTCTGGGGAAGGCAGCTGCCTACGTGCATGAGCATTGGAGGAGTATTCATCAGTTAAACGCAGAGAGAGACAGTGGATGCCTTTTGGAATGGAACTTGCAGCAAAGTGTTTGTTCATCAACTCTGCAAATTTGGATTCCCTAATCTCTCTTTCAAGTTTCTCCATCTGTGCAAAAGAGACAAATTAATTAGGAGCATGCCAATGTTTTAAATAGCATGTAAATAATCTAAGTCCATACATAATTGCACATAGCAATGTGGATATAGAAATGCCAATAGCGTCAGCAATGGAGAACAACAATCAACAAAAAGAACTTCCCATTGCAATATAATGACATGATGTGCCTAAACTTAAGTAAGACGAACGAAAATATCTACCTTAGTTTCTGACCAGCTTAAGCCATACTAGAATAAATTAATAGCTATTGATCCCTCTATTATACAAAACTAAACAAATTTCAAAAATATGTAACATACCATTCCCCTTAACATGAAAGCAAAGGTCCTTGCATTATATTGGTTATTCTTCATTTCAGAAACAAGTTGACTAAATGAATCTGGAAGTTTTAGACCGTCTGGAATTTCCTCAGTGTTTACTTGATTGAGGATCTTATAGAAGTCCTTGACCAGTCTCTGCTGCACCACAGAATGATTCAATCTAAGTTAAAAAAATTGCTTTTAAATATAAAATGTTGATAGCAAAAAAATTGACAGGAGATTTTTGTACGGAGAGAGAATGATATTTACCCCTGAATCATCAACCCTCCCAAGAAGCCTTGGTCCCAACCGCCTACCCAAACAATCTGCAATACAGCAGAAAACAAGAACAAAGGTCATGAATCCACACACCTAAAGAAACAAGAAAAAAGAAGAGAAGAATCAAGATAGCTGTCACCAAGAATTTTGACCATGCAGGTTGGCATTTGGTATAAAGATGGACAAAAAGGTAACTAGAAGTGGTTGTGACTTTTTTTTTTTTTTTTGTGGCAGTATTGCAGTAGTTACTAAAAGAAATTCAATGGAACTTGGAAAAGGGTTTTAATGGTATGAAGTAGAGTTTTGGTTGCTATGGAGCAATAAAGCTTACAGACGCATAACAGGTATGATTTGTGACCCATTTGTGACACCAGTTGCATAAATCAACTAAGGTGATCCAAAACTATTTATCATAAACACCAAAATTATGGTACTAACTTAACATCCTGTCTCAACTAGCAAAAGAAATTGAATAAAAACCTTGATAGATGCATTTTTTCCTGATTCAGATCCTATAAAATTACATCATAACATGCATAATCTTTAACGCCCCAGAAACAACCTACCCTTTGACTCCAAAATGATTATACAAATTCAGAAATAATATGAGACGCAAAAGGAAACAGCAGTTGTGCCGGAAAAGCCATAAATCCTAATCCATTCTAATAAAACAAAAGGGGCAAAATTGAACAATCAGCTTCATCCGCACTACATCAGATTGACAAGAACCTAAATAGGAGCATTGGAAGGCCAGAAAAACTAAACCAGGATCAACCATCCAACGCATATGAATGAAGGCATGAAAAATAACTCAGGAATGCAAGTCTAATACATAATGAAACAATAAAACTCAGATCAAATCAAGAACCTCCTAGAAATCTACATCTGGACAAAACTAAATGTTCATATGCATGCCTATTAGACAGAACAAATCATTCATCAGGAATCAAGATCCATTAAATATACACCTAGAAATTAGATTAAAAAAAAAAAAGATGTAATACAAAAAAAAAAAAAAGTACCAAATGAGGAGCACTTGTTAACACCTTCGAGGGTAACAAGAGCAGTGAGAATAAAGACAAAAGGCAATAAGAAAGCGAGGATGAGAATGGTGTGGAATAGGGTTCGATACGAGATGTGACGAGCTGCGACCTTGATCTTCATCAAGTCAATAAACCCATTGCTGCTCGATATCGTGATACTTCTCATGCTAGGCGAGAAGTGAAGCTGCATCCTTGTCTATGCAGCCCCACTGCAGAAGAATCTACCCTTCTAAAAGAACCGCCTTCTTCTCCAAGAATCACCGCAAATAACCTCTCTTTGCACCTCCCAACATCCAATCCACCACCCACCATCAGATCCACATCCAATTCGCGATCTCCCTATCTGGGTGTCCTTCAAATTCTGTCTTCTTTCTGTTCCAACTTTTTTTATGCTGCTTCTTTTGGGTCTTACCAGCAAAGACCGCATTGGATTTCAGACGATCAAGATTGTTGGATTTTCCGTCCCTTCCCACTTTATTTCTCCGTTTCTCCTGTTACCCAGTTTAATATTTGGATCGAATAATCAAACTTGGGGGTCCCTGATTTTTGGGCTTCGATTATTGAAGCTTGTTTTGCTCGCTCTCCCACCGATCAAAGAGAGGGGGAAAAAATGAAGAGAGGGAAAGTGGGTTCCGATTTTGTTTGTGTCTTTGTGTAAAGCTCTCTTTCTTTGCTTCGCTTCCTCATTGGTGGATCGCCCGATCTATTTTCATTTTCCTCCAAAATTAAATTAATTAAATTAAAAAAAATGGAGTACCAATAAATCAAATTTATATTCAGTTTTTTTTTTATGTTATTATTTATTTAAATTCATAAATTAGTTTAATTTATTGTTTTAAAAAATAATAATAATAACAATAATAATACATAGCCATTACTCAATAACGTGTTGGGCCAATGTTAGAGAGAGAAAAGTGGAGGTGGAGTTTGACCTTTCAGAGGGATGATTTTTTTCTTAGGGCTAGACTTAGGTTGTTTACCATGTTTGTGGGAAGAAATTTGTTTCATCGAGGTTGATTTTTTTTGTGTGGATATTGTGGTGTGAGGAAATTTGTTAATTTTATTTACTTATTTCTTAATCTTATTAAGTTGTTAATAATACATTGACATTAAAAAGTTTGCAGAGATTTGCTTTATCATATTTTTTTAATAAAAATATTAAAAATAAGTTATGACAAAATATAATTTCATAGAAAATTATCTTCTCATTTATCAATTAAGAACCAGCTCACATGAACAAAATTGACTCATGATCATGATTGGTCACATTACCCTCCCAAGAAGTTCAAACCCTCCCAGCACATCTGTAACAATAAGACAAGTTCTAACAAGAAGATACTAGGACAAAATTAGCTGCTAATCTCCAATTGCCAACATATTTTATATTGGTTAAGAAGCCTTCCTAGATTGGAATGACTGCTGAGACATGAGCATGAGGGATAACTGAACCTCCATCCCACATTCTGTTCCTTTTATCTCTCCTACATGTGCATTTTTGTATGACAATAAGTGGGTGGGCCTATTAAAGAGCATACCTTTAACTGGTAAAGAAACGGTAGCACATGACATGGAGCAGTGAGGTGAAGACAGTGGTTTCAGAGCATAGACGATCAAATGGATGAATGAACTATTCAAAAGCCAAGATGTCAACAAGTAGTAGCAAAATCAACTACAGGGGCAGCAATCATACTTCTACAGATCCATCCAGCTCCTAATATGTATTCCATGCTGTTCATCTGTGTCCTAATCTATTTGTATTTGGTGTCAGACTCAAATTCCTTAACTTATCTGCTAGATATTTCTACATTAGGGCCCCCATTCAAAGGTATCCAAACAACCAATACTGTTTATAACCTTATATATCAGATCCAAGAAAGAAAAGCACAAAAGAAACATTTGGCAGCCATTATTTCACATATTTCTGACCTCAATCAAACTGTGGGCAGGAGTTTTTCTTAATCCAATTTCAGTCATCACATCCCTCACATTTTCTGCATCTTTCCACCTTCCAACTGCAGAATATATTTTTGCCAACAATACATAATTTCCTGTGTTCTCAGGCTCTAGTTCAAAAAGCTGGTTCGCAGCCACCTCCCCAAGTTCAACATTCTCATGTATTACACAAGCACCAAGCAAAGCACCCCAAATAGCATTAGTAGGTCTAAATGACATTGTTCTAACGATATCATAAGCTTCCTCTAGTCGACCAGAACGACCAAGAAGATCAACAATGCAAGTATAGTGATCAGCTTTAGGGCTTATTTGTCTGCTCTCAATCATGAATTTAAACAAATTTAGACCATCATCCACCAAACCAGCATGGCTGCACGCGTGCAGCACAGAAGTAAATGTAACTTCATTAGGCTTTATCCCTGATTTAACCATTTGTCTGAAAAGTAAAACAGCTGTCTTACCATGTCCATGCATTCC